TAACCTACACCAAAAAATCAAAGATTCCTTTTTCTCCCTACTTTTTGCACATCTTTTGGTAAAAAACTAAAAAATTATTCAAAACATACTAATTTTTTTCCTCATATTTTAGCCAAAAAGTCAAAAAGTTATTAAAATATCATATTCTCAAACAAAGCCTAAGTGTATCTAAAAATTTTAAAAATTGATTAAATATTAAAAAATTCAGTAAAAATAAAAATAAAAAAAAAACAAAAATTTTCAATTTTCTAAAATGTGAATCATGATATTTCTCTCATTTTTTGCATATTTTTCAAAAAAAAGTAAAAAAAAAAAAAAAAAAACTTTTAACCTATTTTTCAAAATAGGCCTATGTACTAGTATAAGATATGTGTATCATTAGGTCTCACAAGTGTTTAAATAAATTAAATAGTTTTATTAATTCGTTGTTGAAATTTGATTTTGTCAAAAGCGTCACTAAAAAAAATATATTGATGATTTTATGAATTTATCGTTAAAAATTGATAATTAATAACTTTTTTTTTAATGATTTTTTAAAATTGTAAATTGTTAGCAAAAAATATTAATATAATTTTTTTAAAATTTGTCTCTAAAAAGTGATGAAATTTTTCTGTTATGAATTTTTTAACTGTTACTAAAAAATAAAAATTAATGACAGTTTTTTTTTTATAAAAATACTATTAAAAAAATAAAATAAAAATATTATGAAGGGTATACTATAAATACACCTTATGAGATTTGATTAAAATACAAATCGCTCCCTATGATTCTGAAAATTATATTTCACCTATTTCATAACAAATTACCCATTTTATTAATAAATCGTCAAATTAATTAACAGTTTTTAAGGATATTAGAAATATGTTTCAATTAATAATTTAAGTAATTTTATTATTAGAAATGATACATCCCTCTAATTTGGAAGCCCTAAAAAAATACTAATGATGTGGAAAATAAAAAATAAAAAAAAAATCAAGGCCAAAATATCACATTATATGGGACCCGCACACTAATTAGAGATATTAGAGCTCTCAATATTTTTTCTTTTATTATTGTATAAGAGAATAATTATGAATTTTATTTTTTTAATTAATTTTGTTAGATAAAAAATTCGAACAAAAGAGTATTTATAATTTTTCAAATCACATAAGATAATCTATAGTTGTTGGCATCATAAATCTGTAATTATTATTATTATTGATAAATTGCAAGACACATGGCACTTTCCTATTCATTTAGAAGTTATGAGAAGTTATGAATCATTAAACATATGTGAAAAGATTACGGAGAATGTGGATGATCATGAAGCATAATGTGGAAGAATATGGAAGACAAAGTGAAGAATATGAAGCATGAATTTGAGGTTAAAGGAAGTTATAAAGACATAGAGGGATATGTGACATTGTGGGAATAAAGATAGAAGAGTGGGTAGTTTTAGGTGATTATTGGGTAGTTATTACTGGAAGTTTTTTCCTATAAATATTTGCTTATAAATAGCCATTCATGCTATATTGTAAAGGACCCGGACTTAGGTTCAGAAACCAGTTTATTTACTTCGTTTTTCCTTTCCAGTTCTTTACATTTCCAGCACTTCAATTCTTGTACTGCACTTTATTTCCTAGGAGTAGTTTCCAATAGTTGCTGCTGTAAACCTTTTTCAAGGCTAGGTCACTTCATTGTAAGTTATTATTTGCTCAATTAGATTCAGTTTTTTGAACTATTTTGTATTTGTGATAATTTATAAGTTTCTCCTAAAAAGCCACCAGTAAAAGTGCTATTCATTGAGGTTGAAATAACTACAACACAATCGTCTGATAATTGGTTGACAATTAAAATTTTGTAAGGACTTATTGATATTTGATGACATGCTTTAAATTACGCAATTAACCTTCGAAAGCCAAAAAAGACAACATATATTTTTTGGCATGCTCGGTGGGACTATTATAATGGCTAGACATAGACGACAAGGAGAAAATGGGCGCCTTAAAGAAGGCATAAAAGAAGAAATGACAAATGAATTGAATTTTGTTATTCAAACTTGTCAAAATTAAATATATTGGTGTGAAAGAAAAATTTTGGATCTTCAAGAAGAGATATGTTTTCTTGATGAAGAAAATTTCCAAGTTGTTTTTTCATTACCATATTATTTGGTAGAAAAAAAAATATACATCATTTAATTGGAGTAATTAATCAACTTGGCGTGGAAATTTACCAATAGAGATATGAGATATCAATCCTCAATGTCAAGTCTTTAATGACTAAATTTTGTGAGGTTTTACAAAATGTTTTTAAGTCTTTTATGACTAAAACTAGGAAATAAATAATTTCATCAATGGCTTGGGGGGGTTCAAAAACCCATTTTTAAAGAGCCAAGTTATGAAAATAACATGGCTAACAAGTATGTTGTTGAGTCAAACATGGTTAAAAACAATGTTCCATATAAGGCTTGGGGGGTTGAAAAACCCATTCTTATAAAGTCAAATCATGAAAATAATTTGCCTATGAAGGAATTTCTCAAGACATTAATGGCTAAAATGGCACAACCAATTAGGCCAAGAAATGATGAAACTCATATAGAGAACTTTCATAAGCCATTAATGGCTAAAATAAAATAAAAAAGAAGCCCCATTTGTCAATGAATGATGAAAGTTGTTTGGCCAAAGAACATGTTCTTAGACCAAAAGTGATTAAAGATGATGATCAACCCACTATTGACGGATTTTAAATATTTGACATTGTTGAAAATGTCAAAATATTTGAACTTTCAAGGCTATATTATGCCATGACTTTCGGTGTTCAAAATCTATTTTGGATTTGTGGGCCGCATCAAAATTTAATTTTTATGAAATGGCTAATAAAACAATCATCTTTAAGCATTGTTCTAATGAGTTTGATGCACTAAAGAACAAATTAACCTTTTGAAAGGCAAAACTAAGTTAAGAGTGGCCAAAGCACTTCAAAGGTCTATATATTTGGTTTAAAGGTAATTCGAAACTCGAAAACACTTCAAAGTGCCATATATTTAGTTCGAAGGTAGGTCGAAGCTCCTTCAATAGCACTTCGAAGGTTCATATATTTGGTTCAAAGGTAATTCGAAACTCAAAAACACTTCAAAGTGCCATATATTTAGTTCGAGGGTAGGTCAAAACTTCCTCAAAAGCACTTCGAAGGTTTATATATTTGGTTCAAATGTAATTCAAAACTCGAAAACATATCAAAGTTCCATATATGTAGTTCGAAGGTGGCTCGAAGCTTCATCAAAAACACTTCGAAGGTCCATATATTTAGTTAGAAGTTAATTCAAAACTTTGCAAAACATTTTAAATTTGTCACTTCGAAGCAATTCGAAGTAGTACAATCGGAAATGAAAATATATGGTTAAGATCTGAAGAATCATACTTCGAAGGTCTTGAAATTTCCATATTCCCATGATGCATAGTCTCGAAGTACAGCATAAAATGGCCAACTGTTACTAATGGTTCGAAGAAAATAACATTAGCATGCATTGTGACTAAATCAAATTAGTGGCATTTTAGAATTTACCATTTCAAACACATGCAAAGTTATCCAATTTCAAACACACACATTAAAATTTGAAGCATTTGAACTTATTTTAATTATGTTTTGAAGCCTTATAAACTCTCTAAGCAGTTAGTTATTATGCGTTCGACGCTTTTAATACTCTTAAAATATGCCGTGAGCACCTTCAGAGCAATGTTTTGGTTATTTTTTTAACAAAATTGAATCATGTTGTATGATAAAAAAACCTTCCAATGTGTGTCTCTCTTCGAATACATTAATTAATTGCCAAGTATGGTCTAAATTGATGTATAACTCTTCATAAATTCGAGGTTCCTTATTCTGAAAGAGTTGCGAGGGGTAATGTTGACACCATAAATCTATAATTATTATTATTATTATTGATAAATTGCAGGACATATGGCACTCTCATACTCATTTGGAAGTTACGAGAAGTTATGAATCATTAAACATATGTAAAAAGATAATGAAGAATGTGGAGGATTATAGAGCATAATGTGGAAAACACATGGAGGACAAAGTGAAAAACATGAAGCATGAATTGGAGGTTAAAGGAAGTTATGAAGACATTGAGGGATATGTGGCATAGTAGGAATAAAGATAGAAGAGTGGGTAGTTCTAAGTGGTTATTGCTGGAAGTTTTTTTCTTACAAATATTTGCTTATAAATAGCCATTCATGGCTACATTGTAAATGATCTGGACTAAAATCCAAAAATCAGTTTATTTACTTTGTTTTTCCTTTCCAGCATTTCAATTCCTGTACTGCACTTTATTTCCTAGGAGTAGTTTCCAATAGTCGTTGCTGTGGACCTTTTTCAAGGTTGGGTCACTACATTGTAAGTTCTTGTTTAATTTCTTGAACTATTTTGTATATGTGATTATTTATAAGTTTCTCCTAAAAAGCCACCAGTAAAAGTCCTCTTCATTGAGGTTGAAGAGAACTACAACACAATCGTTTGATAATTGGTTAACAATTAAAATTCTGTAAAGATTTATTGATCCTTGCTGACATGCTTTAAATTACGTAACTAACCTTCGAAAGTCAAAAAAATCAACAATACTTTAAACAAATTTCAAGAAATATATTTATAATTTCTTCCATTATGAAAACAAATAAAAATATTTAGTGCATCAAAAAACCAAGAAGACTCATCGATATATCCCTCTTTCTAATTCTAATAGAATTTTCCAGTCATTTCTCCTAAAATAACAAACATAAAGATGCTCTCTATCAGGTGATGGGCCAAATAGAGGCCATAAGTCCACACTATGAATTAAACTAAAAGGCCCGGCCCAAAATATATTCAACGGTCCACATTACACAACTACACGATTCCGCCTTTAGATCTTTCTAGAAGCAGCAATATCTCCAGACTCACCTTGACCGACCAGACCACCACTTCCCAATTAAAATAAATAATAAATACTATAAATTATCAAAATTTCCGCACAAACCCCATTTCTCACATCTCACCAATTTTAAACACCTCTCTCTCTCTCTCTCTCTCTCTCTCTCTTCATATCACCTGTTCCGTTCCCAGCGAGAGGAGAATACCTGCTTCGGCATCCCACCACATCATCATCTCCTACGCCGCGGCGCACCCGATCCACCGCCGCAATCTCCACAGGTACGATCTCTCAAACCCTAAACTCATTCTCTCTCTTCAACTACCAGATCTGTAGATTTCTCTCTCTAGATTCGCATGCTCTCATCGATGATTGCCGCGAGGTTCACTGTTCAATTGGTTCGACAATCTTAGTTTTATTCATTTAGATTCAACAATTTAGGGTTGTAATGTATGAGTTTTTGATGTTTATCTGTGTTTTGTTGGTTTGATTGTTGATGTTGAAGCCATTTTGGTTCGTTGGATTTGTTAACATTGTGTTGATAGCAATGAAAAAGCTACGTGATTGAAACGCAACTTTAACTTTTTTCCTAGACAATTTATTAGTACATTGAGCGTGATTTCGATTAATTAAGGTTTAGATGTGATTTATTTATGGGAATCAAGCCTGATTAGTCATTATTCTTAAAAAATAACGTAGTTATGTAACTCTGTTAAATTTGGTAACTGAGATCCTTTTGTAACCGGGCTGATATGATGATTAATGGGTTTTAATTTGTTTATGTTCAGGTTGTTACCTATTCTGTTGAGGATAGAGTAATTGTGTGCGTAAAAACAGAACTTTTATTCGAAAATGAGTGTGGTTGGTTTTGATTTTGGGAACGAGAGTGGTGTTGTTGCCGTTGCAAGGCAAAGGGGAATTGACGTTGTACTCAACGATGAGTCAAAGCGTGAGACTCCGGCTATTGTATGCTTTGGTGACAAACAGCGGTTCCTCGGAACAGCTGGGGCTGCATCAAGTATGATGAATCCGAAAAATACAATTTCTCAGGTAAAGCGGCTGATTGGCCGTCAGTTTTCAGATCCTGAGCTGCAACGGGATATAAAGATGTTGCCTTTTGCAGTCACCGAAGGTCCTGATGGATACCCATTGATTCACGCTCGGTATTTGGGGGAAATGAGGACATTTACGCCGACCCAAGTATTGGGAATGGTGCTCTCAAATTTGAAGAGCATAGCGGAGAAGAATTTGAACGCGGCAGTTGTGGATTGCTGTATTGGGATACCTGTTTATTTCACTGACCTTCAAAGAAGAGCTGTTTTGGATGCAGCTGCAATTGCGGGTTTGCATCCTCTCCGATTGTTTCATGAAACCACTGCAACTGCTTTGGCATTTGGAATTTATAAGACAGATCTACCGGAAAATGATCAACTAAATGTTGCATTTGTTGACATTGGCCACGCTAGTATGCAAGTTTGCATTGCTGGCTTCAAGAAAGGCCAACTCAAGATATTGGCTCATTCATTTGATCGATCTTTAGGTGGCAGAGATTTTGATGAAGTTCTATTCCAGCATTTTGCTGCTAAGTTCAAGGAAGAGTATAAGATTGATGTTTACCAAAATGCTAAGGCCTCCCTCCGGCTGCGTGCTGCTTGTGAAAAGCAGAAAAAAATTCTTAGTGCAAACCCATTGGCACATTTGAATATAGAGTGCTTGATGGACGAGAAGGATGTTAGGGGTCTCATCAAGAGAGAAGAGTTCGAACAAATTAGCATTCCAATCTTGGAACGCGTGAAGAAGCCATTGGAGAAAGCTCTTACAGAATCTGGTCTGACAGTTGAGAGCATTCATGCAGTTGAGATTGTTGGTTCTGGCTCTCGTGTTCCTGCCTTGATCAGGATATTGACAGAGTTCTTTGGCAAGGATCCTAGGCGTACGATGAATGCGAGTGAGTGTGTTGCCAAGGGATGCGCCCTGCAGTGTGCAATCCTCAGCCCCACATTTAAAGTGAGGGAATTCCAGGTAAAAGATACAAATATTATATTGGCTTTCATTATTCAGTTATTTATATTGGTATCTGCGTGTTTGCTGAAGGAGGGCATGCTTTCATGTTAGTGCACTGAAATTTGTATTGTTCTAAAAGATGTCTCTTGCGAATTAATTAATAGTTTAGTTCGCTTCTACCCTCAGTAGCATGAATTGCCCAAACAAGTGACGTTTCTTTCTAAGAAATGTGATTCTATGCTTCTTAGAGAGAAACATGTAAGAATCGCGTTTTTGTTGAGAGAGAAATGAGGAAAAGAAAAACCTGATCTGGTCTTGCGATTAGGGCTACGAAAGTGGAGCTTCTTCCACGTATTTGCTTCGCAGGCGCTTTTATCTTCATCTTCTTTGATTGTTGAAAGCAAACTCGCCTCCTCTCTCTTTCTCAATCGCTGCCAGACCTCTCTCTCTCTCTCTCTCTCTCTCTTATCTTTTTCTTCATTCATAATAAGAGACTGAAAAGTCTACTTTAATTTATTAATTTTCCTTTATGTAATATATATTATAAATTAATAGCTTTTCATTTAAGTTGTGCTTTAATACCATATTTATACTGAATAATGAAATCTGTTTTGCTGGTTGTGTATTGCGCAGATACATATAAATTCCACCTAATTAATTTATTATCTTGTGTTGACTAGCTCAAAAAAACATATATACTTACATATTATATTATATTTCCATTACTTTTAAATTCCACCTGACTAATTATTTATTTATTTATTTTTTATGTTTAAAATGAATGTTTATTTGCTATTCATTTTTAAAAAAATATTTTTTTTAATGTTGTATTTAATTAATTAAATATTATGTAAAAAAATTTAAAACTCATTTATGACATATATATGTCAATTAATTTTTTTTTTATAAAAAAAAGTTCATATAAATAAATTAAAAATATTAAAAATAAAAATAATATATAAGCGCTTCCAACCTACCACTCTTCTAAGTGGCCCCGCTCCCGCTCCCGTTCCCGTTTCGCGCAACTAAGCTTCTGCCCTTTTATCTTAGTTTCTCTGTAGAACCTGAAAATCTGTAGTGGACGTGCATGATCAATTAAACCACATTTTATAATTCGTTTATATGTACCTTTTTATGTGGTTTAGAATCATGATGAAATCATATAGTATGTTTGGATTTGGATTGAGCCGAAAGGAGGACATGGTTACATGACATTTGGTTTCAGAACACGTTATGCTGCACTGTTTTGTCAACAAGCATGAGGCCCATGGTGCTTAATTGTTTACCTAATGAAAGTTTTGATTTCTTTTCTTTTATACCTTTTTCATAACAGAAAAATATTATCTATTTTTAAGCTTATGGATGGAACTCATTCATATTATGCATACATATCTAGCTATAAGAGGAGCTCTTACCTATTATGTATATCTGGTTTTTGTCGTGTATAATTTGTTCCTTATTATTCTTGCATTACATTTTGGCATTTTGGTTCTTTTAAAGAGGATGGTACAGAAAGTTTTACTTATAATTGGCTTTCTTTTCATTTTACATTGATTATCTATTTAGATTGAATTGAACTGTATGTTCTATGGCATTGTTTGATGAACAACTATTTGTCTCTTTGTTTAAGGTCAACGAAAGTTTTCCATTTCCAATTGCTTTGTCATGGAAAGGTGCTGCTCCAGATACTCAGAATGGAGGCGCAGATAATCAACAAAGCACTGTTTTCCCAAAAGGGAATCCAATACCTAGCGTCAAGGCTTTGACATTGACATTCTATAGATCGGGAACCTTCACAACAGACGTTCAATATGCTGATGTCAGTGAACTGCAGGCACCAGCTAAGATTAGCACGTATACGGTAATTGATTAGACTAGTGTTCTTTGAGTGGGCTAAGTTTAGGACTTTATGCTCTATTCAGACATTATTCTTGACATGGATATGCATGTTTGTGGACAGATTGGTCCTTTTCAATCCACGAAGAGTGATAGGGCAAAACTGAAGCTAAAAGCTCGACTAAATCTGCATGGCATTGTATCAGTCGAGTCAGCGACAGTAAGTCCTGCAAATGGTTTCATTTATTTGCTTATGTGGTTTAATGGAGCATTGTTATACTATTCATGATTTTCTTTGATGTTTGTTTGCATAAGCTTTTGGAAGAGGAGGAAGTCGACGTTCCACTTGTTAAAGAGCCAACAAAAGAAGCTACTAAGATGGATACAGATGAAGCTCCAAGTGATGCTGCTCCCTCAGCTTCTGAAACCGATGTGAATATGCAAGATGCTAAAGCTGATGCTCCTAGGGCTGAAAATGGTGTCCCAGAGTCTGGAGACAATCCTGTTCAAATGGAAACAGATGCCAAGGTCAGTAGTAAGCAGATGTGCATGTTTTTGTTGTTTCTTGCTTAAGCTTTTATTCATTTAATAGTTTGATTGTGTTGATTGGAAATTATTGTGACACCTTATGGCCAATTTTCCCCAACTTTTTTTTGTGGCCATACATAGTTCTTCGGTGTCCAGTAGCAGTTTGAGTTTTTTATTTCCCTATTCTTTTCTTTTTTCTTTCTTTCTTTCTTTCTCGACCACCTCCCCCCCAGTTCCCGCCCGTTTTTTGTTGGAACATAGCAATGCTATGTATTAACTGAGAAATAGTTTGGCTTATGGGAGAAAATAACTCTGGATGAGGTTCTTTTTACTTGGGGATAAAGGTAGTAAGTAGTGAGATGGAGTGGGAAGCTGTGTATTAATACTTTTATTGCCAGAATCTTGAACTTGCCCGGCCTTAAGTTTGACCTTCTGTAACCAACTTGGGGTTGGGTTGGGTTGCTTTGCTTTCAAATTTGGGCTCAGAAAATTTGTATAGATGCTGGAGCTGCTAAAAGACTTCTTGATTGCAAATCCTCTTCTTGAGGGATGGGGTATGGTGTCACCTGGCCTATCCATCACTACACTCCTAGAAGTAGACTTAACTATTCTTCACATACATATCTTGATTCACAACCTAGATATGTCACCTACTGTTAGCTCTGATTTATTGTTTTAAGTTGTTATAACTGTCAGTGTCCATCTATGCAGTGACATTTGATTGCAAAACTGTGGTTATACTATTAGCTTTGGAATCAGATCGGTGATTCATTAGCAAGTCATTGGAAAAAGTTGCAGATAATTTTTTGCAAGGCACTTGAAGCTGTGATTCTATACTACTGTAGCATTCTAAATAGATGTTGGCTAATTACTCTTTATCTTATGAATAAAGAAATAAAATACTTAAAAGTAACATGATTAGATATAAATTAGTGAGGTTTATAAGGCCTCGTTTGGGAAGTAACTGTTTTAACTAAAAAGTCACTATAAATTGTCACTATCACTCTCTTTACTTTTTTGTACATCTTTTCGTAAAAAAGCCAAAAAAAGTTACTAGAATTGCTTGTTTCCAAACGAGGCCTAATTATATATAAAATTTGTTCTGAAGATGATATTTAGAGATTTTATCCCTAGTCGAATGCTATGAAGCACGGATACTTCTAAAAGGGGGATGTATTCGTATCGTATCGGATACTTATTAAAAGTATTGGACATTTATTAATTAATTTTTCTTTAATTTTGATGTATCGAATACTTATTTCTGAAGTATCGGATACTCCAAGTCACGAATTACTTGTTTTACAAAATTAGAATTGTAGCATTTCCTGCATAGTATTATAATATACCTTAATTATGAGGATAAATGCAATAATATTTTTCCAATACATTTGAATAGAATTTGTCAAATTGGTGTATTCTTATTGTATCATGCATGTCCCGTATAACTAAATAGAAAGTAAAGATTAACAAGTGAATATGACAATAGTAGAATTAAATATCAATAAATAAATAAGTAAAGTAAACTTACAACATTTTTTACTAGTATAAAAGGAAAAAGCACATGGACAAATTCATGTGGATTGTTCTACTGTTGTGATATAAACATATTGAACTTGATATTGAAACAAAATATTTGTAAAACCTATTGAAATTTAAGAAATAAACTAGTAATGGCTTGAATTAGATGGATGGCTTAAATTAATTCCTAATTCTTAAATATTAGTATTTTGCATTATAAAATTACAGTTTAGTTTCTCTACCATTTTGAGCTTATGTTTTCACTACTAATAATTTTAAATTATTTTTTTTACAAGCGTATCCTACACATACTTGTATCTTACTTTTATAAGTTTTTTCGTATTGCCGTATCCGTATCGTGTCGTATCCGTTTCTGTATCCATATCCTTGCTTCCTAGGTTGGATGTAAAGATCTCCATCCTTTCTAGGCTAAATTTGTCGAGCTGGTGCCATGCTAACACTAGGATGGAGGATGCAAGTGAATCATATACTCCCCTCTGCATGAAAATAATGATTTTTATTTTTTTTGTTGACTTGTGTGAGTGCTGTTCTTGTAATCATCAGTGTTATGCAAGTAGAAAATTGATATGATGCACGCCTTGATACATTTATTTGGCAAAATATGCTAGTATGTCTATGGTCTCCTCTAAACTGGCTTAATGCAAACTTGACTGATTATATTGTGTTTTGAGGATGTAGCTCTTGTTGGAACAAGATACAAGATGTGTTAGTAAACTATAATTAGTCTTTTATTTGAAATCATTGTTTTTTTTTGTTGTGTAGGTTGAGGCTCCAAAGAAAAAGGTGAAGAAAACAAACATTCCTGTATCTGAGTTTGTTTATGGAGGAATGGCTCCTGCAGATGTGCAAAAAGCTGTGGAGAAGGAGTTCGAAATGGCTTTGCAGGATCGAGTTATGGAAGAAACCAAAGACAAGAAGAATGCCGTTGAGGCCTATGTGTATGACATGAGAAACAAGGTACCATAATGGTCCATAATAAATCATATTCTGTGAAGAGTTTTAATATTTTGAACTAAGCAGTTTCTTTGTGTAATCCAGCTTAATGACAAATATGAAGAATTTGTTACCGATTCAGAGAGGGAAGAGATAATTGGCAGACTCCAGGAGGTGGAAGATTGGTTGTATGAAGATGGTGAGGACGAGACCAAAGGTGTTTACATTGCTAAGCTCGAGGAGCTCAAGAAGGTTGGCCTTTTGTTGTTGTATTTGCACAGGTGGTTCGCTTCAATTACTAGATTTTTATACCTGACTTGAAATTTAAAATCTGCAGCAAGGTGATCCAATTGAGGAGCGGTACAAGGAGTACTCTGAGAGGGCACCGGTGATTGATCATCTTATCTATTGTATCAACAGTTACAGAGAAGCTGCAGTGTCAAGTGATCCTAAATTTGATCACATCGACCTAGCAGATAAGCAGAAGGTGTGAGACAGGCTCCCTCTCTCTCTCTCTCACTCACTCTCACGCGCGCGCGCGTGTGGATGCATTCACAAATTGATTGCTACTAATTTTAATTTCATTTTTGGTTAGGTTTTGAATGAATGTGTGGAAGCGGAAGCTTGGTTGAGGGAGAGAAAGCAGCAGCAGGACTCACTGCCCAAATATGTGAATCCAGTTATCTTGTTAGCTGATATTAGAAGGAAGGGTGAAGCCCTTGACAGGTACTGTCTCATTGTTTGATGCTGCTGGAAATTATTTTAAAATTTCTTGTTTTATTTTTTTCCCCTCGTTGGTTAAATGTGGCCATGCCCTTGTCTGGTGTATAAGTTAATAGTGAAGCTAGATGTCAATTTTTAGCTGTACTAATCTGTCATTGTTTAGGATCTGTGGATGGAATCCTTTTTATATGCACTCATTTTGATATTAATTATGCATGGAGCCTTGGATGTGCAATGATGGCTTGCTAGTGGCCTGTGATGATATCTAAGAAACACTGAGGTGGTGTGTCGTGTCTGACACTAACATGACATGGCACTTGTTGGACACTTCCCAAGACCCGCCAAACACACACAAAAACATGGCCTACTATTTTAGAAAAAAATTCTATACCCGACATGCTTAAGGCATTTGGGAACATGTGTTTATCGCTTAGACAAACATGAAACATAAATTTATATATATTCTGTCTTTAGAGTTTAAAAGTTATTTTTAAATTAAATATTCATATATATATACGTGACATAGTAATTGTTATCCTTGTATGCGACAATAAATGTTGTTTTTTTTTATTTTTTATTTTTTTTATATATATAGCTGGGTTTTTGAGACATAATAAATATATAAAATATTTTGGGGTACTTACGTGGAGGTCCTAATAAGTAGACTTATTGTCTAATAGGTCCTATGGAAAAAATTTGTTATAAAAAAAGGTAACTAATTATAAGTTTTAGAGACAGTTTATAAAAATCATGACAAAAAAAAAGTTACTAATTGTCAATTTTTAACAACATATATAAAAAATTGTCACAAAAAAATTATTTTTAGCAATAATTTTGTCAAGATTTATTTTCAATAGGACTTGATGGGAATTAAGTTTTAACTATTAGGACCTATTGGTAGTTTACCCAAATATTTCTTGTGTCCTCCATGTGGTGTCTTTTACATTTTTTGCAAATCTAAAACGTGTCGGTGTATTCGTGTTGTGTTACACGTGTCAGTATCCATGCTTCTTAGGATGATATTGACTAGTAGAATTTGTTCCAATAGGTTTTGCAGGCCGATAATGACAAAACCAAAGCCAGCCAAACCAGCTACACCTGAAACACCACCACCGGCATCTCCCCAAGGTGCTGACAGTACCAATCCCAACGCTAGCCCTAAAGACAATGCCGGAGCTGCCGACAGTGAGGTGCCACCAGCTGCCACAGAGCCTATGGAATCCGACAAGTCCGAATCAGCACCCAGTGCTGCATAAATTAGTAATGCCTGTTTGTTTTTTCAAGTGTTCAATGCAGGTAAAAAATTGATGGATTTGTTTTCTGACTGTTGAGCCTGAAACTCTTTCTTTGATATGGGTACAATGGTTAAAGGCTGCATGATGTTTGCTGGTGAGATTGTTTAGATCTGTAGAAAAAGCCATCTACATTACTGGTTCAATGGTTTTGCCAAATGCTATCATTATTATTAGGAGATGATACATCTCCAGAATCCAGTTTTCCAAACAGGTTTGTAAAAGAAACATCGAAATTGCTGTCATCTTCTGTTCCTTTTTTGTTTCTTTTTTGGCTGGAAAAGAGACCGATATATATCCTACTCTTACAGGGCTTTTAAAACTTTTTTGTTTTAATTTTTATTTTTATGAGGAACTATTTTGGGTTTCATCCCATGTTTTGGGTTCAGCTTTCAGTGTATGTAATACTCGGATTATTCTCTCCCTTGTTTTCCTGAATTTTTCTTGTTTGGAACTACGACAATGCGCTGAATATTCTTACAGGAGTTGCGGTAAGCAATCAGGTGTTACTTCTGAACTTAATAGACCTGTAAAGATTGGGTTTTCCAACAGGTTTTTCAATCTTGTTCCAACAGGTTTCAATCAGTTTCATCCATTGCAGTGGCGGTCCCTTCTCTAAAATGACTGGAGCTGCTTGCTGTTGCCATCCTCCTAGTACCTTGTTAGTTTCTCTTTATTTATTTAATTTTTTGATTTATTTTTCTTTTTTTTTTTAAATTTTACTTGTTTTTATTTATTTAATTTTTTTGTGTGGCTCTTTTTCTACACACAAAAGGGGAAAACAAAAATATAGTCCACCTGAAGTAATATAATGCTTGAGGTTATGTTTCATTGAACAAATTTGAGTTTGAGGTGTGTTCCCAAAACAAATGTAACAAAGTCCTGCTATAAATTGAACCGGTAGCAAAATTGGTTGAAAAAATACCTGAAATGTTTACACTACATTAGTACATATATGCACTAGTAGTACAAGTACTAGATAAAAAAAACCAATGCAATAAAAAGATTCACAATTTTCTTCAAATTTTGTTAGTGCTGATTAACAAAAGCTCTCGAGATCACATTGCAAGGGTACGGGAAAAAAAAAGAAAAAAAAAAGATTAATAATGGAAGTTCAGTGTGGGTCGGGGGTTGTGGTTTATTAAAAAAGCCCTGTGTAAGGTTTTTAATTTTTTTTAAAGTAAAATTTTAAAAGTAGAATGATTGTTTTTATGTAAAAAATATCAGTCCCGTTACGTAGTCGGATTTTTTCATGGTTCGACTGCTTTAAATTTAAATTTTCTTCAAATTTTGTTAGTGCTGATTAACAAAAGCTCTCGAGATCACATTGCAAGGGTACGGGAAAAAAAAAGAAAAAAAAAAGATTAATAATGGAAGTTCAGTGTGGGTCGGGGGTTGTGGTTTATTAAAAAAGCCCTGTGTAATGTTTTTTATTTTTTTTAAAGTAAAATTTTAAAAGTAAAATGATCGTTTTTATGTAAAAATTATCAGTCCCGTTGCATAGTCCGATTTTTTCATGGCTCGACTGTCCCAAATTTGAAAATGACATCGTTTTGATCGTTTTTATTTTTTTTTTTTTTTTTTTTTTCCCCCTTTTCTTCTTTCTACCCCTTCCTTCTTCCTTCCCTTCTCTTTTTCCGACTCAAAACAGCATCATCACAGAGGGGAGGGGAAGAAAGAAGAAAGAAGAAAGAAGAAGACGACGAAGAAGAAAAGAGAACAGGAAAAAGAACGAAAAAAAAAAAATTAAAGTCGTGTTTTCCCTCTTCAGATTAGATCCACATCAACATCTTTATCAACACATTATCATCATCAACAACATGTCATCAACATCATCATCATCAACAGATCATCATCGGCCAAAAAAAAAAAAAGAAAGAGATTTAGAACAGAATCGTCATCAGCCAAAAAAAAATTCAGATATGATTTGCTCCAGCTCCGTCGATCACCGTCGATCTTCCTCCTCCACCATCACTGCAATCACCGTCTTTTTCTCTACCTCCTCATTCTCCCCATCTTTTCTCCTTCCTCTCTTTTCCTCTTCTCTTCTCTTCTCTCCTTTCTCTCTCTCGCCTCTGTTTCTCTCTCTCGTCTCAGTGTTCAAAAGGAAAAAGAAGAAAAAAAAGAAAGAAAATGAAGAAAAAAAAAAAAATGTAACTTAAAACGACGTCGTTTTGGATTTCGTGTCAAATTCGAGCCGTTGATTTTGGGCTCTCAAACAATTTGCAAAAAATATTTTCCTCACATACAGTGTTTTTGCCCAAAAGAACAATTTTTAGATCTCTTGCAATCATTTTTCCAACTAACTTGTCTACCATACTACATACTCGTCGAAAAAGAGCTCTACGAAAATGGAAACCCACATCTCTATGTCATGGTGCAATGCACAAAAAAAATTCAAACATCCAACTAGAGAATTTTAGATCTCACAGGAATCAACGGGAGGATCTACCATTCAAACATAGAAAAACTCTATTTTCCAACAGCGAGTCGACAATATATACAAAAAGGCGGTGATTTCATAGAATATGGAGAATTTTCATCCAAGGGGAAAAGTCTCTCAAAAAATAGACATGAATTTTGGCAGAGGATTCTTGTAGAAGCAGAAACAGAAGAACAATTCTTTCCATTCTGTAAAGAAAGATGTCTCACTGATTACGTCACACAATACCTCTAATTAAAGATATTTTCGAGAAATCATTACAGACGAAAGAGATCCCTATATACAAGTCTCTTTAATTCATTTCTTTTTCTTAGTGAAGAAGTAAAAAATTGTTTAGAAAATAATATTTTGTTCGTAAGTTAAAATTTTGTAAAATACGAGCTATGTCAAAATTGTTGTCTCTCCGTTTACAGTGAAGATGACTAGATTAAATTAGGGATACATAATAATAATATACACGATTTACATACTAACGAAGAACTCTCCTCGTTTTCTGATAACAGGATTCATAATAGTTGCCCATTTGCCCAATCTTCTCCTACCTCGAAGGACCTTCAAGAACAGAAAAAATTGTTTGGGCCAAAAGTCTCGATCGATACAATTACTTCTCCGGCAGAATGAGTTTCAAAGACTATGATCAAGACGCCATCTACAACGTCATAGATGACATCAAACGCTTGACAGTCCCAATTGACACCGTCTACAACATCATAGACGACATCAAATGCTCGACAGTCCTAATTGAACTAATAAAAAATCTAGTTAGATGCCAGAGAGACTTCTACATATTCGTTAAATTTCAACCAGATTTCACCATTAGAGGAGGAATTCCTTATATTATATTAATCAATGGGGACAGTAGCTGGTTAGATGCGATGTCACAAAAAATGAGAGAATGGTTTGATGTAAATGTAACCACTATGATGATTAATGAAAATTTTTATTAATTTTATTTATGTAATCACTCAAATTTTTATTTATTTATTACATTTCCCTTATCATCAACAACAATATTGTCATTATTCTTTACACTCATGATTACATTTCGTAAAACATCAGAAAATTCTAGACCATCCATAACAACATGCCATCTCTTATTAACATCGTCTTTTCTAGCAGCACCGACCTTCGAAATCGACAGATTAGGATCGATATCACTAGCACTATCACCATCTCTACGTACATCAATCTCGGATAAGCTGAGACGACCTCTACGCTCATCAATAATTGAATCACTTTCCTCGAAGCCTCTTAACAACAAATCTCTCTGCAGCTCCGGTAAACTAACTGACTTAGTCCGTGATAGAATCAGAAGAACTTCGGTTAGAGCCCAATGCCAGACATCAACATTCGCCTTCGTATATTTTTTAGATAAGACAAACAATAGATGAGGGTCTCAACTGCGAATCTTCTGGCATTTCACTTGTAGAATACTTCAGATATCCCTTAATTTTACAATATGTTATACCCTTTTAAATATTCGAATCTTCGAGTCGATACTTCACCATCCATGGCACCTGTTTTTTGTTAATCGAACAATAACCATTTCTATAATACACTAATTTCCACTAACAATCCATAGGGAAAATAAAATACGTCTGCAAACTATCATTACCATCTAACCTCCGATCATACACATTTACTTTGACCAACCCACTTGCATTGGGCGTGCATATTTTATTAATATTTTATTAACTTTAATACTATTTTGTTTGTATCTCAACCTTAATTGAGAAAATAAATTAGGCAACGCAAATTCAATATAACTGAAATTATTTGCTGAAACACCTTCAACAACACTAGTTTTTATATATTCAACCTTTATCCACCTGAACATTACAAATAAAATAGCTTATAAAAACAACAATTCTAAATAGTTTTAAAATACATTTGACTCCTTAACGTAATTTTGCCTTTTTTTTCTGCTAACAGTAGCAGCCACTAAATATATCGCACCCTTCTGAATACTCTCCACATTTCCCAACAACGTATCTTTATATTCCGTCCAAACATCCACAGGGAAGAACCGATCCACAACCTCTATTCCGTGTCGAACATACTCTTTGTTCTTGTCACCAACAAGTTTGAATCTCATTTTCTTCAACATATGAAACCTATCGCATTGATCAGGATCAACAATCCAAGTCTCAAGATTACCCTCACCAACACCAATAAATATCTTGTCAGGTGTGGGGACGGAATCTGACGGACTATTATCTTATAATGAAAAAAAGTACGTGATGCACTACAACTTCACCTTTTGCGTCTTGTCCTAATTGAACATTCCCAATTAATTTAAAACCCTTAACCACGATTTTGTCTGATTGATGGTCACATCTTTTATTTCCTAACTCAACCCCATTCAGGAATCTCGCAACACCTCTATTGTCAAATGTAACGTCCTTTAATTGCTCATTATACAGTTGTAACTTCCGTACTCCCCTCTTGTTCTTTTTAATGTATCGGGGAATATTTTGCACATACCGTGAACATACGTCGCCCTAAAAGGTGCATGACCATGGTAACTATGCTTATATTGACTGATTGCCGATGTTCCTGACCTTCGATATGCAAGAGGAGTCCGATACTGGCTGCTTACCACTCCTTCCATTTTTTAAAAAACACTCCAACCCTTTTATCCCAACACTCCTACAGGATCTTTTACCTCTATTAACCCTTCTGTTCAGGCACTTTAGCTTTGATATTTTTGCTCTCTGTTCTTCGTACCTAAGAACAAACATTGCCGGAGCTGATAGCCACCTTTCTTCCAATATAGTCTTATTTGCCACGTCAAAAAGAGATCTATACACATTTGAGTGAACTGCCTATAATTCTCGGAATACTCTTTTAAGGAGTACAACATTGTATACCAAAATAATCAACAACAAAGAAAGACAAAAAAAGAGGGATGAAACAAGGTACCAAAAAACAAAGTCACCACAATAGCTATCCCATTGCAAAAGTATATTTCTCTACAACATCAAATGTTTTCTGGTACAAAATAAATAGCCAAAATCTCCGTGTACAAGTAAAAAGATTCCCCATTCAAAATAAAG